AGTCATCTGAGTAACTGGGTTGGCACAGGGGAAGATCCAAACATCAGAGCCACGTCAACAAAGAAACCACCAGCCGCAACCTTCCATCTAGAAAGAACCCGATAGCCCTGAACACCAGGCTGACCCGTGTGCTGCTCTCAGCTCAGAAGTCTGAAAACTGGCACCTCAACCATTATTCTGTACCTCATCTTACCTCCGCTCCTACCGGTAGCTAGAAGAATGTGTCTCTTCTGTGCTATCGATATCATTGAGGTCCCGCTAGTTCTCAGATCCAGGGGCTGCCATCTGTCCCCTTGGCCTTGCGTGCTTTAGCCTCAACCAAATCGGCAAATGAACTGAACCGGCGCAGGTCAGAACCACCAGGAGTCACATCGTCTGAAATGCCTAGCTCGGAACCCGAATGGTGCTTCATGGACGCTGGGCTTTGCTGTTCCCTTGATTGACCTGTTCCGAGTCTCGAGAGTAAGGAGCTTTGAGGCAGTATGGACCGAGTAGATGCCAAGTCCACAGACCGCGGCCGCCCTGATGCCAGCGGGCGAAGCGGTGAACGTGGGGGAATCCGAGGTGCCAGCTCGGTTGAGGAAAGATTATCCCTCGCTTGCGATACCATGACGTTATTCGGCGAGAACATCCGTCCGGGTTGTACTTGAATAGGACAGTCCATGGAAATGGAGACCGGGGGTCGGGGCGGGCGCCGAGGCCGCATAAACACATCCTTATCAAGCATGGAGACTGACCGCTGGAGCTGTGGCAAAGGATACATCCTGGAACCTTCAAGCTTTCTGCGCTCCGAGTCAGGCCTGTCGACGACGGGGGGTGAATCCGGCCGGGGCGGTCGACGCGGCGGCGCGGGCGCGCGACTAAAGGTAACCACGGGACGACCGAGTTTGGTAGAGCTTCTCCGTAGAAACTGGGACACAAGCCCGGGTTCGGGGGTGTGTCGCGTGCTCGCCGGAAGCTCCATGAGAGGGGTTGACGAGATTTGACTCGGAGGTTTGGACGGGGTGAGCAAGCTAGACGACGGGAGTGAGCGGACGCCAATATAAGGAGCTGGATATATACTAAGTACTAAGCAGTGTGAGATTAGCTGCATGCTCAATCGTTCAAGATATCGACTTTGATCAGGGGAATATTCGTAAAGAACATTGACCAGCTCGCCTAAGAAAGGGGGCACGGCGTTAATGGCCAAATAGACTTGTAACTCAACACCGTGCAGCGACTACCTTACTAGTGCAGAGTACTACGTGACGTCTGTGGTACTACTGGTGCTTGAATGATTCGGAGTCTAAACAAGTAACCAAGAGTTTTGTACTTCAGACTCACCTAACCTCTCAGCTCCCCCAACAGAGGAGCTAGGGAGAGAAGCTGCCCTACTAGGCCCGAATTTTGCCTCCAGTTTCGACTTCAGAAGTTCTAGCTTTCTTTGTGCAAAATTATAACCAGGTCTTAGTCGAGATTTAAGTAGGGCCATACTCACCTAGCATCTTTCTCACTTTGTATGTTCATTTCAACACCGTGGCTCTGAGGTCCTGTTTGCAGTCTTTGGGCCCCTGGACGACGCTTGACCAGTTTGCCGTTTTTGGTGGAAACCATGTCCACTCTAATGGCTGAGTTCTTCAAGATATATAGGTAGGAGAATGGGGCTACAGTGACTGCAGCAATAAAGATTGAAACTACTAGTATGATGTAAGTAACAGGTGAGGTGTCACTTGTAATTTGTACCGTGGCTCTATGACTCGCGGACAAGGCAGTTGCGTAACGGGTTTGTTGGAGCGTCAAAGGGTAGCATGTAGCATGCAAGGCTACCTATGCTAAGAATCTGTGCAAGTGAAGGAGGCAGAAAGACCTCCTGCTTTGAGTAAGTTTCTTATATGGTGAGAGGTTGGCAGTGTTTACTCGGGCTCTCCACTGCCACTTGGCTGGCAATTTGAGCCACGAATCCCAACGTGTGGTCCCAACTTATGAATTGTTTGCCAACTTTCAAGAGGCAGCCGGAGCTATCGATCCATACTTCCACTCATCTTCTTTCTGTGCAACTCGTTTTCAAAAGCAGAGCATACTACTAACGTAGCACGTACAGTCAAAATAGTGCGTAACTCCAACAATAACAAACTGCTCCCAATTGGAGGGGATCACAGAACTGTGGGTAGGTATGGATAGGACCTCCTAGTATTTATAGCCCCTCAGCTTTTGCATTAACTGACCCTTACTTGCAGTTCTTGAGCGTCTCAGTCCTCCCAAAGCCAGACTAGACATGGTACTACATATGCATGTACTGTTACAGCCCACCTCACCAGCTCCGTTGACTCCTCGAACATAAACAACATCTAGAGCCCAAAGAACTTCATATCGTCGCTGCCGCGCATGGGCACCGAGTGGCCCACGCCCGAGGCATAGACACCGACCAGCTTGCCATCGCCCCAGGTGTAGGTGGTGTAGCGGCTCTGCGGGGTGTTTGCCAGGGTCTGGTCGGGCTTGGTGTAGTCGAAGCCAAAGACGCCGCACCACTGCTTGATGGTTTCGTTGTAGTTGTTTTGGTTAAGCGTCGTGTCGGCCGAGCCGTGGTAGATTTGCATTTTGGGCCGCGGGCCGTTGTAGCCCGGGTACATGTCAAAGACCATCTGGCGTCGGGGTGTAAGTATTGTATTGGATCAAACTGCGGCTGTGTGCAGTGGGTGGTTTGAATAGAGATTGAATGGAATATGAAATCATACCTTGGCCCAGACTTGAGGAGTCCCGCGGGCTTGGCCGTTAGCACAGGAGTTGTTCCACTGCGCGACGCCGCCCGACTGGCTGTAGAAGCAACCCGCTGCGGTTCCCGAGTAAACGATACCTGCCGCAAACATCTCGGGGTATGTGGCCGCCATGACGTTCTGAGAATGTCAGCTTTTGCTCAGGCCAGGTCTGGTACTACTAGTGCTAGTAACACCAGCTGTTTTATGCTCCTGAAATTTCAGGGAAGGGTCGTGCTAGGCTCACCGTCATCATGCCGCCTGACGAACTGCCCGTGACAAACACCTTGCTGGCGTCGCCATTGTACTTGTTCAGGGTGTAATTGACCATGTTGGCGATGGAGTTGCTGTTGCCGCCGCCGTTGTGAGAGAGGGTCGCCCGTGACGACACATCCCAGCAGGTGCCGCTGTATGGAGACTCAGGGTAGATGACGATGAAGCCCTTCTGGTCGGCAAGTTGGGCATAGGGCGAGCCGCTGTAGTATGCCTGCGCTGTGCCCGTGCAGTAGTGGATCGCCACGATGACCGGCGGCTTGGTCGCCAGCCTGTTGGGCACGTAGATGTACATCTTGACGTTGGAGGGATTGGACCCAAAGTCCGTCACCCGGGTCAAAGCTGCTTGCGCACGCTTCAGGGGCGCCGTTGGCTCCATCAGCTCGTCCCATACGGGATGGGCCGTGACCATGGTGCCCATCAGGGCCAAGGCAGCCGAGAGCTGGCTCAAGAGCTTCATTGCAGGGCCTCTAGTTGTCAAATATGCCGGTAAGATGGGGATGGGACCTGTTCGTCGGCAGCTCTCCCTCAGCTAGCTTCAGCTTGGCCGCCGAGAGAGGCCGAGACTGATATATAGGGAAAGCTGAAGCGATCGTAGATCGTCCCGGCATCCATGTTTACCCGGAACCCCAGACCCCGCGGAGACCATATAAATTATATTTCCCTTCCTCCGCTACCACGTCACTGGTGTCCATATGCGGGGGAACGCTGCCCTTCCTCCATGCGGATCTGCAAAACGGAAGTCCAATCACAAAGGCCTGATCCACGTCTCGATTTTAGCCAGAGAAACCCGAGGTGGACCGCAGACGGGGTCTCGGGGATCTGGGAAGACTTTTTAACAAGGATAAAAGCGTGCCTTGACGTTTGAACGACTTTCCGAGTATCAGACCTAAAGAACATCGCGGTACCTGGAGTGCTGTAGGACCTTCGCGGAAGATTCAGGGTTAGGGGACAAGACAGTCCTATATGACCCTGCTTCAACCCCAGTATGTCGCGCACTATGGATTAATCAACCTGGGATAGCCTCTTTGCGGCTCGGAGATTTCAAGCCATAGGAGTATGGCTGGTGCACACAGCGATATGGGTCGGCGCCTGGTTTGTTCGTCAGCTCCCACGGATCCCCGGTATTTAGGTCAAGACATATTCCCTTTTCCGCTTGCAGTAGCCAAGCGCAGTGCCTTAAAGGTGCGGAGAAGAGCCTTGAGATCGCTTGTGCACAGCTGTCCCATATCACTCGATGCCAACAGATGGCTGAAGCCTTGATGGCATTGACATACACACCTGAAGTACCTGACAAGTAATCAAGTCAAACATCTCAGGGGAGGGCTTGCCAAAGCCATTGTCCACCGGCGGGGAAGTTCCGAAATTGTGCCGTACCTCGACAATATGCTCAAAATGGAGTGCTAGGGACCAGGTATCAAACTGTGGAAATCGGTGAGAATGCTTACGAATACCCGTCGTCTGGTGGGTACTGACTTGGCTGAAAAAGATCGAGGCAAGAGCCAACGGATCACTGGTGGGTGCGGGGAAATAAGGGGCACAGTATCCGTACAGTATTTCCATACGTTAAGGAGCGTCTCAGCTTGGAGTTATCCAGAATGGTCTCCCAAATCCCCCCATGCCCGCTGCGACCAAGAACAAACTCGAAAAGACTGAAAGCAGAATGTATGTATCAACACTCAGGGCGTGCTCTAAAGACTCTGTTGTAATGTTTTGACGGGAAAGTACGTGACCAATGCTCAGTGTTTGTCAATTTTCCCTGGTTCATTAAACCTGCCTGTATACCGTATACGATACTGTATAGAGTAGCCTTGGGCCCCTTTAGGCTTAGTGTACTTGGTATTTTCTTTAACGCTTTCTTTCCGCGGGGCCCAAGATTTCTGCCAATTTTTTGACACAGCTCCCTCCCACTCCCGTCCGACCCTGCCCTCCAATATCGCAACCCACCCACCTAGCTACCGAAGGTATATAACAGGCAAGGCGATAGGCACAATGGCTGCATGTGCCCAGGCTACGAGCCCCGGTTCAACCTGCATCTCGCCCGCGAGGTCGGCGAATTGCAGTGTTCGGGCCACTAGCAGCTGTGCAATAATGCAGGGAACAAACGACAGCGAGCTGCCGACGAGGTGAAGGTTGGGCACCCGACTCCTGTTCTGGGCTGCTTGCTGAGTGGTTGTTGACAAGAGCAGAATACCCCGGCGCCAGCTGAAAAGACCCTTCAAGCTGACTGACCTCCAGGCTGGGCCGCTATTGCTGCATTGCACCTTTGCTTCAATCATCGCCCCAGGGCCCAATCTCTGGATCACTCCAAGAACTTGCATTCTCTACTTGCTTTAAGCCCTCAGTTTCACACTCCACCACAAGTTCGGGAACCGGAAATCCATCGACCAATCTGCCATGGATCAGTGCCCTCAACCTGTCTGACACCTAGCCTCCCCGCGAATCAAGACATCCGAAGTCCCGCCATGCCAGCCATTTTCTCTCGCGCAGCCTGTTGGCTGGTGATTTCTGGGTTGGTGATCAGTGTACGAGGAGCAGACATGTCGGATTTATCCAACGATCTTGCCACAGACCTTGGACCGCTTCTCGCTTTATTCGGCGATGCCATCACAAAGCAGTACCTCAGCGAATCGACCTCTCTTTTCGACTACATCATCTTCGCCTTGGCACCCATCGGGCTGGTGACGGCCGTCGTATCCGTCATCCGCGTATGCGGAGGCACATGGTTGCGGTCCTTCATCGGTCGTGCGCAAGAGGGTGACGCCGCCATTGTAAGTAACTTCATCGGTTTCCCTCGCGCTATTCCTACTCCGAACCAAGTCCGATCTCCGCAGGGGTAAAGCTCATCCCGGAAACTTCAGGAATCAGAGCTCTGCACGTCCACCAGTTCGGACGTATGCGAGGTGTTCAACCGAGGGGGCATTACTCGGACACTGAGAAGGGCAACGATCTTGGAGGTGATGCGAGTCGTAGGCTCCCGCGAAACCAAGTCTGAGGAAGAAACACCGCAAGACAACGCCACCAGTGAGATAGAGGATCTCAAGGACGATTCTACCACGACTGACGGCAGCAAGGGTGTCAACTGGAAGTGGAGCCGAGAGAATATGGGCCTGTTTCTGGTGAGGGACTACCTTAGAAACTACAGAGATCGCGAGCCATCCGAATGGGGGCCTGAGGAGGACAATAGCCTCCTTCGGCAGCTCGCCGCCAAAGCTCGCGCTGCGGTTGGGACTCTTCGCATCCGGTTGTCCAAGCATAGGAAAAAGAATGTGAAGAAGGGCAGCGACGTCGAAAGCGGCGATCGATCGCCGAACGCCAGGGCTACCGTGCCGCAAGATCCCACCTGGGGTAAAAGCGAAGATGGCAATCCCAACCTCTCCATCAATATTGGCATTGAGAAACGGAGCGGTCCATTCGTTGTCTTCGTGCTCATACTGGGCATGGTCCTCCAGCTCGGTCTTATCGCCATGGCTCCTCTGCTGTCCTGAGTGGGCCATTGGTCTAAGGATGGGCATGAGGAGGGGGAGCCGGGAATCGAGCAAGCATACTTCGACAACAATTCCCCCGTGCTATACATGATTGGGACTGTTATCATGACCGCTGGTATGTTTGGGCGTGCTTATCTCGTCGGGCAGATTACCCAGGAAAAGAGGTGGAAGAGGCGAGGGAGGGATCCGACAAACTCGGCCGGCCCGGCACGCACTAGGCTGTACTGGGTGCAACCTGGCGACCAAGTGATCGGGGATCAAACATTCGGTGCCTACGCCTACAGCGAGGATCCAAGGCAGCCATTGCCCGAGTATGTCATATCCACAAAGAAGGAAGAAGGAAAGACCCTGCTTCGATACAGATTCTTGACTTGGATTGCCGTCATAGCTACACTAGGTGGGTATATACTCCAGTTTGTAGGTATCCGTGGCATGACTGCTTGGGTCTCCATTGCCCAGCTTGGAGCCACCGTGATAATGAGTGTGTTCCGCGCTATGATGAGGACACAACGATTGGCGAACAACGGCAATAGAGTCCAGGATATATCTGGAGCGATTGCGGGACACGAGTTAGACTGGCTTGCCTTCGAGATATGGAAAGACATGGAGGCAGAACAACATCGCCATCAGCAGGGGGGTGGCCGTGAAGAAAGACGGGACAGCACCGCGCGGGAAGACGGGAAGACGGTCGGCGTGTCTTGGGTTTTCACCGGTCGGCCCTGCTCGGATGGGAAGATGGCACCCACCGAGCTGAACCACGCCGAGGACATCCTTCGAATACGTGCCCGTCTAGCCTACCTCTCAGGACACAACTCGGCTTTTCAATCTGAAAAAGAGAAGCCCAGGCGCCAACAATGGGACAACAAATACGTCCCTGCCCGAGATCGTGCCGTGAAGATGGCCAAGGCGCTTGGACAAATTGCAGACCGCATCATCGATAAGAACCACCCAAGGGAGAAAGAAATCCATCTTCACTTTCAAGTTCAGTTCTGGCGCTCAGCTGGTGGCATTAAGGTGGAAACATATCCTATCACGATTATTCTGTACCCTCCTAAGCCGACAGCTGGACGACGTGGTTGGTCTCTGGATTCGCAGCAGCTCGAAGCTATTCTTGGTCTCTATTCTTGGTCGCTCTATCGATACCGTGAGGTTAACGAAACTCCTCGAGGCTCTTGGTGGCTCGGTGCCGGTTCGAAACTCCTGCATGGCAAGAGCGAGATCGACTTAGCCGGGGACGTACAGAGAGCCCAGATCCTGTCATCAATCACGCCAGTTGGAATTGACGATCAGTACCTGCTAGATCTCTGGCTGGGCGACAATACTCCTGACATCAAATCCTGTACAATCAAATGGGACCAGACCGATCACCCAGACGCTACAACAATCTGGACCAAGTCTCCCGTGAGGACGGAGATACAGTTCCCCAACGGGCGGCCAGAGTTTGTCTTCACACCAGGGAAATCCGATTCGTCTGATAACGGTCCGAATATATCTTCTGACAATCACCTCCGATTCTTTGGCTGGAGTCATGTTCATCACGAGCCAGATTTTCAGGCGGAAGAAAGAGAAGCCGACATCTACTATGTAGAGACCAACCGGTCTGTTCTAGACGACTGTGCTCATGATATTTTCTCTGCGATTCTCTCCGAGCTAAAACGACAACCGCCTTCTACCGTGAGGCTACTAGTACCTCATGGAAACCGAGGTTTGGTGCCTAAGCCGTCATCTCCTCCCACGGATTGGCAATCCGACCTTCTTTCCAGCCTGACCACGGCGTTGAAGGATAACAATATGGGCTCTCATCAAGACGCGCTTCTCGGAATCCTGCCCGCACTCTGCACGGTTTTGGCAAAACCGGTTCGACAATCATGCATCATGATGTTCATGGCAATCAGATACGTCACAGAATATCGAAAGAGGGGCCAATGGCGGAGGTCTTGGAGGATCCTTCGGACTGTGTACATGACAGGGGACTTCTGGAATCATTACATGATATCGGAAGTCGATGTTTACCTACGAAACGCAACGATAACCTCGCTTTGCGAACTCTTTTGCTCTTCTCTTCAATATGGCCAGGAAGAATGCCGCCGAGCGTTATTTGGCTTTGAGGGCATGAAATGGCTTCAGGAGGTGTGCCAAACATGGTGGGCGGACGAGAACCGTGCGACAAGAAACCGGAAGGTTTTGGACCTTTCGAAACAGCAGAATTCACTAACAGTGTATTGTTATAGCCTCATTGCCCGTCATATCATGACCATCCGAGTCTCTTCTCGACCAGGTGAGAAGGGTCACAGAATGCTTCCACCATGGCAAGGATATATGCCGTGGAGATTCATGGAGAATCCTCGAGATATGAATCCTCGATTTCTGAATTTGTCGGGGATCCCCCAACGCACACTTGAACGCTACCTAGAGATGACGTTGACCGGGGCTCCAGCTTCTAAGGGTGCTTTGGACACTCTATGCTACCTCCCAGATACACTGGCAAAAAAGTACGGTTTGCTCGGCCTTCCTACGGAGGAACATAGCCTATGTCTATTTCAATTCTCTGGGGTAAGAACGCAGCTGCGGGCCCTCTTGCTCGGTGTCAAACTTAAAGACTCAGTCGAACTTGAAGACTCGGTTAAACAAATATTGGCGCCAGCAGCTGCAGCAAACTGGCATGAGATCGTCGAGGCTCTGCTGGAGTTGGGCGTCCCCGCATCTTACAGAGAGACAGAAGAGTCGCCGTATGCGTTCGACGAGTGCGTACGATGCAACAGCGCCGATGCAGCCAGAGTTTTGATCGAAACGGGGGAGTTTGAGGGTTTCGATCGGGATATCATTCTTGGTACTTCCAAACAAGGCAGCGACCGGGTCCTCGATATCGCTCGGTGTCTCGGTATGTGCAATACTTACGAAAAGAGCATACCTTCAAGCGAGGATCGACCTCTCGCCTCCTATGATCGGGAAAAGGATGGCCCTATGACTCTCGCTAGCAAGTCCAAACAGCCCGAGATCATGGAAGTGTTGCTCCACATCGATGGTATAAGCCTCAACGAGCAAGATGAAAAGGGCTGGCTTCCGATACACCATGCGGCATGGTTAGGAAATTTTTGGTTTGTGGAATGGATGTTAAGAAGGGCTCCAACAGCGGTGGACGCCAGAGTTGATCACACCAACTTGACTCCGCTCATGCTTGCTGCAGCCGGATCGAAAAAGAATACTGATATCATCCGACATCTGAAGGACAACGGAGCCCAGGTGAACGCACAGGACAACAAGGGAAGGACGCCAGTTATGCATGCCGCGAGTGCCGGCCGCCTCTTCAACCTCAAATTCTTGCTGGACGAGCCCTCCGTCGATATTTCTATCCGCGACGGAGAGGAAAAGACTGTCTTATTTCACCTTCTATCCGGCAAAATCGAGGCCACAGACAACGAAGCAAAGAATGTCAGTCTTGACATATTGAGCCTTCTGCGCAGCCGCGGCCTCACTCCATCGATACATGCAAGGAACTATACAGCACTCATGGCTGCAGCAGAAGCTGGAAACCCCCACTTCATCGAAGATATCATTGACTGCGATGATGTCCAGAGCTGGGTCAACCTCCAGGGTCCGTTGAAGAAGACAGCCTTGATGTACGCGGCAGAGTCTGGGAGCGCGAGCGGAGTAGAGCTGCTTCTGGCAGTCCCCGATATCGATCCAATGCTCAAGGATCAAAATGGGTGGACAGCTCTCACGTTTGCTGCGTGGATGGGCTCCCTGGATATGGTCGAGCTCCTCCTGGAGGACCCAAGGGTTATTATGGCGCTGGAGCACGGGCCATCGGATGCTATGATTTCAAGTTCTATCCCGGATGGTAGAGGAGAAACTCAACGGCTGACGAACACAGACTTCGCACTGAAAGTGGCCTGCGAAAGAGAACATCTTGGCGTTATACACCGGCTCCTCAAAGATGGACGCTTCGACCCCAACCTATGCGACGATGACGGGTATACGCTGCTACACTATGCGGTGGTTTATGAAAGGGTGGAAGTTGCAGAGGTGTTCCTAGAGTACGGGGCCCGGACTGATATTTCCAACCACTCTGGCAAGACGGCGTTAGATCTTGCAAAGGGATCAGAACGGATGATCAAGATCTTAGAGGAACCTAGAGAGAAGAATTAGAATAGGCTTGGAGATTCAGGACAGGAAGATAGGACCTGTGGTTCTGATGACTGGGAATCAAATACAGTGTCCTGTTTGAAACCATGTCACTAGTACCTTGTTGATAGAGAGGATTGTAAATACCAGTGCTAATTCCCTATAGGAACAAATACCTTAGTGCTTTTCTCCCACTTTCACCAGCGTCATCTACAGTAACCAAACAAATCTATGCCTCGAATCTGCGTCACAACATGTACCCATGATCAGCTGCCGTAATATAGAGCAAGAAATGCTGGTAACGTAGCACATACGACCATACCTACTGGAAAGCTCGGGATCCCGTCCGCTCTCCCCTAGATAAACCAGTAAGGGCCAGATTAGTAGTTGGGTCGGTGACGACCAGCGAATCCCTGGTGTTGTATGTATTTTTTCATCTTATGCAAGATACCTGTCTGAATCTTGGACCTTTGCTTTTTGATCAATCTCCATTTCCATTCCTGTCATCTTAAATTGATGTACATACATACAAACTGATCAGTTGACTAGAGTATGACTCGTCCGTTCCGTCCCCCACTCCAGGGGCACCCAACAGTCTCCTTCAGCCTTCAATTCCCACATAAGGCAGGGCTGTTACGGTAGCTAATACATCCTCCGGCAAAGCCAAACTCTCATGTATCACTGCCATCTAGTCTCGAGCCAGTCCACCCTGTGACGGCCTAGAAGACGGAGCCTAGACACTTATGATCCCAACAACGCCAAAACCCAGGTTCCTCGCTGGGACAGTGGATAGCTTAACAAAGACCAAGGCGATGACGGTGAGATGCCAGAAACTGGCCCGAGAACTTCAAGTTGTGTTCCATTAGCCAAGAGCGGCCAAGCAATGCTGCTCATTTCCTGCCCGTCCTGTTGAACAGGTACGTCAAGAGGTAGTAATCCGCTGCGCTCTCTACTTGAAGAGCGCCCATCTCCGTTACAAAGCCTTACAAGAGACACAAATTTCCGTCCCATAACACCCCCTTTTTACCATAACAAAGGTTCAAAAGCAACCGTAACCCTCCATCAGCATAGCAGGACTCGGTGATCCCATGCCAAAATGACGCCATACCTTAGTCAACGGACTCTCAAAAGCTCAGTAATATTACAACGTGCAAGTAACGCGCCTTTTCCCCTTCCTGACAACCAAGGGACTTGTTGTGAATGTGTTTTCCTCATGCCTGCGGGTTAAGCATTACTATCGTACAACGGCCGGATTTCCGGGAGACACAAAACAGTCGGTCTGCGAGAAACGTCACAAATAGAAACGATCGAGCGAGATGCGAAACAGGCCAATTAAGGACTAGGATCGTCGCCTAACTAGGAGCGCTTGACGCAGTCAGTAGGACATTCCCTTTTTTTTTTTTTTTCTTTTTTCTTTTTTTGTTGGGCACATGGGAGAGTAGAAAGTAGCAACAAGACTCACACTCCACCTCCCATGAGAGCAGCCAGGTCATCAAGCTCGAGCAGCTGCCGCTCAAAGGCCGCGCAGAGTTCAATCGCCGTCATGTCGACGTCCGGAGGTGGCTGGGCGGCCTGCGGGACGCCGCCGCCCACCGACGTCGACGACGCCGCGCCGGGGGAATCTGCCTTGGCAACATATGGCGGGGGAGGGCTAGTGGTTGCCGGCGTTGACGCGCCAGCAGAGCCACCGTTGATGGTCGTAATACCAGGCCGTCTTGGGACGGGAGGCTCGCTGTCCCGGCCTTCAACACTAGAATGTAGCGCCTGGGTTCCTGGGCCCGCTGATTGATCGTAGTCCATGGCGTCGGGATTGGTGTCTGCCTGGCTGAGGATATCGTCCTTGACCGAAGGGGAAACGCGGTGGTTGGACCTAAGGTCCTCGCGGGAGTCGCGATGGTCGCGAGGCGCCGTGTTGACCTCGCGCAAAACCTTGGACATAACGGACAGGTGGCGCTGCCAGGGGATCACGAGGGGCCACGACTCGGCGCCCTCTTGGCACAGTCGCAGGCTGTCACGTACTATGTTCGAGGCCGACTCTGTGACGTCGGGCGGTGCCAGGCCCTTGAGGGTAAGATATGCAACAGTGGAGCCGGCCGTGAACGCCGAGAAGAGCATGAAGATCGGGAAGCAGAGAATGCTATCTTTGTCGGCGCCGTTCTCAAGGGCGAGGAGTGAGTGGATGATGCTGTGCGACGCGGCGAAGATGCGGTCCACAGCCTGCACGTGAGCGTGTGACGACATGCGCCATGCCTCGAGGGTGAAGTTTTCGTCCGCCACGACTTGCAGGATGCGGCGGCGGTTCACGAAAATCGTGCCACAGTTGAGCAGCGAGTGGATCATGGCATATGTGTAACCGCTGCCCATCGTGATGTGAAGGTTGATCTGGCCCGCTTTGTCTGCAAAATGCAGCGGCAGTGATTGCCGTAGCGCGTCAATGTCATGTTCAAGCGCAAGGCACTGCTCTTCCGAGAAAGTATCGAGCGTCGTGGTCGTCATCATCTCGACGACGTTGCGCCAGGCCTTGGTCGCCAACACTATATGACCGAATTCGCCGACCTCACCAAGAGGGCCCGCAGGGTCGGCCATAATCGAGGGCGCGGTCCCATTCAGAGTGCGGACAAAGACGGGACTGCCGAAGTTATAGTTCATGTCGAGACATGGCAGAGATACATCCTTGACATCGTGGGAAGAGAGGGCCGGGTGGCGGCCGGGGCTGCTGGTCAGGAAGCAGTCGAGAATATAGATCAGCCAGAGGGTCCGCCGAAAGGACTCATCTTGAAGGAACTGATCCGGATCGGGCTGGTGATGGTGTGTGTGTACAACACGGTACATCTGGGCCATGCGAGCTGCTTGGCCGAGATAGATATAGGCACGCACAGCGTTGCGGCAGCCCCATTCATGAATGACAAGCAGGCACAGGGCCTGGATGTCAGCCAAGCTCGGTTGGTCCAAAGCCTGCATGATGAGGCCGATGGTCTTGCTGGCGAAATGTTCGGCGGCGGTAGATCCGCCCCCGTGGCCGCCATACCGGCGAATCATGGCTGGGGAGTGCCTATTGTGACTGGTTAGGACCACTGCATCAAAGGCGGGTCAGGGATGAAAATGAGGGTTAGGGTGCGGCTTACCGGGCAGCGGTGGTCAGCAGCGCATTGACCATGGTCGGATCCATGGATGTGTTCTTCAGCTGCTGGAGGAAGGAGGGCTTGTGGAAGGCCACACATGCTGGCAAAGTCTTGGAGATGACTCGCTCGCATTCTTGCATCAACTCTGGTGTGAGCCTGTGCATCCATATCTGGTTAGCCGGACTGTTGCGAGATAAACAACCGATTTCCAACCCTCAACAATTGTCATCGTCATCTCAATCGCCGACGACTCCCAGAAGATACGGGCTTGCCCATGCATGGCATCGCAGATTGCTTGTTGCCCGGTCCTCGGCTAGCCGAAGTCTTGCAGCCGAAAAGCAGAATGCAACAGGTCAAGTCTGCGGGGGATTCCGTTTGCTGAGGGCAAAGGGCCAAAGAAAATCGGGGAGTGGCGGGAAGGTGCGCACGGAGCAGGAGGGCAGAAATGAGTGGGCCGGTTTGGGAAATGAAAGGCCGGGCGGAGAAAAATGGAGCCTGTCTAGCCCTCCGAAGGCAACGCTAGAAAACGGCGGGTCGAGGTAGCCGGGAGCGGGTAAAATGGTGCGCTGGAAACGGCACGGCCGGCGACCCCGAAAAAAAATGAAATGAGACTGAAATAAAGAAAATTGAAAACAAAAGAGGCCGAACAAAAAATGGAAGCTAGTAAATCGACTCGAGTAGAAGAGAGCAAAGGGCAAAAAAGGAGGAAATGAAAGTGACTTACTTTTCGGTGGTGCTCGAGACATGACGCGACACACCTGAGGCGGGCGGTGCCTGGCGTTCCCCAGACGTGCTTGAGACGGCTCGTTCGCTGGGCAGAGACTCGCGGGCTCGCTGCTGGACTCGCGCAGGCGACACTCCATGGCCTCCATGGCTCATCGACTCGGAAGGCAAATAGCACTCATGCATGCCCTTTGCGCAGTTTTTGCACGGAGCTCTGCCGTTTTCGTAGACGCATTTGGTCTTGCCCTTCCGGCAGCGCACGCAGGCGCCGCCTGCACGGAGGGCTGTTGATCGCACGACCGACGCCATGAGTCGATGTCGGTGTTGTTAATTCTTAAAGACGCGTGGAAAAAGGGAAAAGAGACAGGCGTTGTTGAGGCAAAAAAGACGTGTCGCAGATGGCGATTGCGCGGGGCACCGAGCAAAAGACCCGACAAAGCCGGGCCAAAGAGGAAATACGCTCCGGAGCAGCGCCGAAACGAAATCCCAGCAGCACAAGCGGTGCTAAGAAGATGCAGACTCGACAGCTTCAATGGGATTATGACATTACAGCCTTCGGCACGGTGGGCGATTCGGTCGGGAGGAGGAGGGAGGAGGGAAAATGAAATGAGAGGTCGGAAGAACGGGGGAGCGATGGGGTAAAAAGGCTCGGGCGGACTTTGGCACCTGAGGAAGCGAGGGAAGGGAGGCGGCGGCAGCACACAAAAAAGAGGCCACAGTCGAAGCGGGCGGATCGGCTGATGGTGCCGGGGTGGAAAGGAAGACGTGGACTAAAGTGGAGACGGTCGAGGATTGGAAGTCACCCGCATCAGTCGGGAGCCAGAGCCAGCCCAGCACAGGCAGTCAGTGCAAATGCCTCTTCCCCCCCCCAAATCTCCCAGGTCGCTTCTCCGCAAAAAAATAGGCACCCCGCCGCCACTGTCTTGCGCGCCGCGACGGCCTGGCAACCAGCCCGGCCCCGGCAGACAGCAGGAGCCGATCAGCCCTCAACAGCTGCTAGTCATTTCGAGGCGTCCGGAATTTGCAACGCATGCATGCATCGCACGATTACAAAATGTATAACAATATCTGGTGTTTTCTGCTTGGGCGCCGGAAAGCGCTTCAGTGGGCGATTCAGTTATGGCTCTCCTGATGCGTCCAACACTTGAGACACCTCGGTGCCTCAGCCCAAAGGACCTAATCCGGCTCAAACCAGCCGCAGTTCGGTAGCCGGCCCGCCCAGCTCCAAATCCACACTTTGTCCCTCCCGAAAAGGGTCCTGCCTCGTTGCAACTATTGCATCGTTCAAGCAGGTAACGTTATTCCTCCATACCTTATATAGCGCAAATACTGGTGGCAATTCTCCTCGCGATTTCTTGTTGAGTCAACGCAACAAGCACCTGCACTGCCGATTGAGGAACGCCGACCACGCCGGGGCCTCCAGTTTGTGTTTGGTGGCAGCTCAGGCTATCTTGATATACACTCAGCAAGCCCGGGTTATCGCAATCGTTCCCCCTTTGTTTCCGTCCAGGTTTTAGCCAGCAGCCCATCACCGACACGGCGCTTTTCCTTGTGTCCGGTGTGTGGGCGGGCCCGTCCTAATTGTCGAGACCCACGCGACGGACTCCTGGCTCCGGCCGTATTTGAGTCCCCGCCTTCTTGGTTAGCTGCCGCCTAGAGCAGTGGGCAATGTTGCTTGGGCTAGGGCACTGGCTGTGACTACTTGCAGCACTGATCAAAATGGCCTGCAAGCCGCACAAGTCCAATTTCCGTCTGCACCGCTTTCCAGGCTCCGGATCCTACATTACATCAACCGGAATGCGGCAATCGCGCCCGCACAAAGAATGCAGAGAGCCTGTGGTATTCGGCGGTATGAGGATCCAGCCCAGGCCCGACCAGAGGCTCCGGCACACCCGCCTTGCTTCCCCACCCAGGCCAAGAATTTCCGCCGTCATTCCATGATCGAGCGATGGACCACCAGCAACATATTTTACTCTTCATCAAACTGATGAACTCTCGTGGTCCATTCGGGTATGTAGATTGGTGTGGTTTCTGCGCCGCCCGGCCAAGTGCGTATGGGAGCCAATTTCGAGGCGGACGCCAAACAAATCGGCTCTGTTCGCGCCGGGGCGGGCAAATCCAGGTCCTCAAGAGTTGTGTTCCACAGTTCCCGAGCCAAGGCCAAGCCAGCTCCTCAGCCCCAAGCTCAGAGAGTTCGGTTGCCCATCAATCCGCCGCCGGCAAGGTTGCGCAACAGGTCTTTGCCGCCGACCAAGCATTTATTTGGGAAACACACCCGGTCAATCCCGTCTGATTTTGGCGATAGGGACTGACCGTATTATTCGTCACCTCCCGGGTTCGTTCCAACACTGGGAGGGCCAGCCGGCCCGACCGAGGGAGGCGCGAGGATATTAAATTCCCGTGGTGCGGTGGGTGGGATACGGAGTGCCTACGTTAATAATTTCCTTAGCCTCCCTCGGAGGCCAGGCAATGACCTCGGGAGTGGGTGGAGTCGCCGGGCGCTGCATACCTCCTGGAAAGCACTCGCGTGCAACGCCCCAGGAGATGGGCAATCACTTCCGTGTAGTGGAGCCAATAGGTGAGCCCTTTGATGCCGGTCTGCCTCCTGTGGGCTAACACCTGCGCCGTCAGGCGTCAGCCGCCGCTTTCTCTCCTGGATTTTCATTCGTGGTCCGCGGCATTTGCCGCCGCTCAGGCCGGCCTTCGGCGCACAGGCTAAAAGTGTGTTAACGTTTAGGGTTTTGGTTTGGGCCGGGCATGGGCAACAGGCGCGTCTGGCTAATCCCCTCCGACTGCTGGACAGAGAAATCATCAGAAACGCGTGTGGGATGTCATTCTTCAAAAAAGTGAAAATCATGTAGCCCTTGGTTTCCACGAGGCCGCATGCATCAAAGCTGGGAACGGTAATTGACGCGTTGTAATCCACGGTTTGCCGTATTTGTCCTGCGTACCGGGCCCTGCTGGCGGGTTGGCGGCCGCTTCTCCCTGGCCCGCAGGCTTACAGACTGTCCCGTCTCCCCTCAATCCGGGGGTTTCGGGCATCAGGCTCCACCCAGCTTGCGCAAAATATGGCGTGCAAAACCGCCGCCGACATTTGGAGACAAGCCTGATCCGGCCCCTTCAAGAACACATCCACGAATCATTTGTTCTCGATGCCAGCGATCAGCGGCGGTTGCCCTTCCTCAATTATGCTGATGGGTTCTACAAAATGATGCTGTTCTTGTTTTCTCTCAGACTTTGACTGCCCATTGCAGACAGGGTCGCACAGAGGATATGCACTCCTATGCGTGCGCTCTGCATAATCCCGCGTCCGGTCGCCAATGTCAGACGCCGAGGAGGCGGCGCAGCCGGCATTCAAGAGAGAGGCAGACGAGGAAGCATGGTGTGTCTGGCAATCTCTGGGCAGCCCCGAGCCTTGGAAAAATCCGAAACCACCGCACTGCATGGGCCTGTGTGCTCTCAACCCCGGAACCAGGTTTGGCCTCTCATGTTTCTCCATTGTGCCCCGACGGCTTGACCGGGATGGACACGCCGAGACGGACTCGGCGCTTGCAGCCTCCGTGCGCCCCGCGCCAGCTGCGCTAACTACATGGCCAGCCGCCGACCTTGCCAACAGCACTGCCTGCCTGCATCTGCCTTGATCATGCATGTGGAGGGTACGAGCAGGGTAAAAATAGTCAATTCGGCTTCTTCCGAAGAATTGAAATTAAGACAGGAAACATAGCGAAGCAGCGGAGAGAGAACCCAGAACCCCAAGGTTTGGCAGAAACGAAACAAATCGCAACCTTTGGCGCGATGAAAAGCTCGAAAGCCCTGTTTCAACGGCCGATTTGTCGTTCATAGCTCGTGGGGACGGGAGAGACTCGCCGGATGTGCAGATCGGGGTGAAACTAACTGCACCCAGGGAATTCGTTTCAGGCTTTCAGCCCAGGGACCAGCTTGTAGTCAGTCAAAAACCTCAACAAACGTCGACAACCGACTCCCGAAGGAGTACTTTGTCTGCAAACCATTCATGAACTGGAAGCCGATAATTACTTCAGTGGCGCGGCATGAACGGTATTGAAGCGGGAGAGTAGCTGGGCGAGAGAATGGATTGTAGCATCCAGGAAAAGGGAATTGGAGGGGGGGCGC